TGGTGTACCTAATAAAGTGGCCGGTGAGTGTATATATATTAGGAAGTTCTAATAAAACGATGAGCTCTGCACAACATCAAATCTGTGCCCAGACGTGACCTTTGAAGGCCTTTGTAATTTGGACTGCAACTAACTTTTGAATGTCTCTGTGCCATGTTATAACTTCTAAAGCACTAAAATTGTTTCCTAATTTCCTGGTCATCTCCAAGTTATTCAATTGCCATTGATTTTATACATATTATTGATTGCTAAGTTATTGCTTAAATTAAACTAGTTGTTTTTTTATTTTATTTCCCATTATTGTCATATCTTGTACACACTCATTCACCTATCTATATTTTAATTTGAACTAGCATGCATGGTCTCTAGACCCTTGTTGCCACATGAATAAAAGAGCTTTCTGAAACTCATTTTGGAGTTCTAACTTGTTTTAAAGAAAGTCAGAGCATTCCCTTGAGGATAATGATTAGTCTCAGAGTTTGGTATTTGCAAAGCTTGGCACTGATTGGTTATGTATCATGTGATGTTTGGGGTTCGGCCCTTTCAGGCTTGGCTGGGAGGAAAAAGTCTTTTGGGATTTTAAAGACTTTAGTTCCTTCAAAACACGCTGACACACAACTCTCCTTTATTTTTGTCTCAGTTTTTATTTTTGAATCAGCATGACTTCTTCACTGGTGATTCTGTTCTGTGTGGGAATACTGCACCAGAGCACGATGGCTGTCCTCATGGATAAACTAGCAGACAGTAAGATCTGCAAAGATGAAGAATGCTCATGTAAGTCGCAACTTTAAAGTGAGRCTTTGCTTTGTGTGCAGCATTCTAAAAAAAAAACAACAACAAAAATCCTGTTTTGTTTGTAGATGTTCTTTCCATGGCTACAGCTTTGGACGACTTCATAGCTCCTGACTGCAGATTCATCAACATCAAAAAGGGTCAGATGGTTTATGTGTATTCTAAACTGGTACCAGGAGATGGCAGTGGAGTCTTCTGGTCTGGAAGCGTATGTTAATCTTTGTTGTGTTGAACATAAAACAGCCATAACTTATTTTAAATATGTAAATATGTTGCTTCCTTTGTGCTTACAAAGCAAAATTTCTACATAAAGTTATATATTCAGTTTCATTGTGTCTGAAATGACCAGCATTTTATCCTGTAAAGCAGAGAACAATGTGAAACGTATGAAACAACATATTAACTGTCTTTATACTATATACTGT